CGGAGCTGCTGAGGGGGGGGGATGTCACGAGTGCGCTGCTGCTGCTGGCGCTGACCACCACCGGAGCCGACCCTCTGCGCAGCGCCACCCCGACCAGCTCCACCTCCTCCGCCGCCGCCTCCTCCACCGCCGCCACCTCCGCTCCCACCGCCACCGCCGCCGCCGCCTCCGCCTCCACCGCCGCCACCGACACCTCCACCCCCACCACCACCCCCACCGCCACCCCCACCCCCTCCACTGCCTCCACCGCCGCCTCCACCGCCCCCGCTAGCTCCTCCAGTGCCCCTGCCCCCCTTGCCCTTGCCAGGGCGGCGTCTCCCGCTAGGGGTAGACGCCGCACCGACCGACTCAAGCCCAACGAGGTCGGCCGCAGCAGCAGAGGCAACAGAGGGCAAAAGGGGGGAGGGGGAACACCCCTCAAAGATGGGGGTGCGAGGGTCACCACGAGAGGCTCCTACAGCTACTATGCTCTTCTCTGCTGCTAGGAGGGACTTCTCGAGGAGGTCAACGGTGAGAGTGGTGGGGCAAACTGAGAGGAAGTGGTCCCTGACTACGCGAAGGGAGTCAGGGAGCCGGGTGACTATGTAGTAGAGGGTGATGTACATGGGGGGGGGGTTCTTGGCGCAGAACTCAGCAGGAAGCGCAGCGCGGTAGCGAGTGTCACTAGTGCGGAGGTGCGTAATGAGGTCAGCGACTGTGGGAAAGGCAGCAAGGTCAGGGAAGAGGTACGGTAGCATGAGGCGGCTCAGTGCAGCAGTGGCAGGGGAGGAGTAGCGCGCAACTACAGCGTCGTACAAGGTCTGAGCACTCTTGTACTGGCTAAAGTGCGCACGCTCAGAGGTAGGCAGGTGGCGACGCACAGCAAGACGTGCAGCAGCATCGCGCGTGGCCCACTGTGAGCGAACAGTGGCGTCAGCATCAGCAGCGGGGGCAGGGGAGGCACCAGAAGTGAGGTCAAAGAGGGAGAGGCCGTCTGCTCTGTCGCACTGTAAGAAAAGCTGCAGGTCATCTATCCAGACGTCAAAGTCAATGGCCCGACCCTCAGCGTCAAAAGCGAGGACACTAGGGGTAGCCATGACAGCAGTAGACTAGCAGCGCAAACAGTAGGGTGAGGGCAGTGCTGTGAAAGAGGCGCTGCTCTTACCGGACAGGGCGGCTCGGGTGGCTCGGCTGCAGGGCGGCTCGGCGACTCGGCTGCTGGGCGGCTCGGCGGCTCGGCTGCTGGGCGGCTCGGCTGCTGGGCGGCTCGGCGGCTCGGCTTCTGGGCGGCTCGGCTGCTGGGCGGCTCGGCGGCTGGGCGGCTCGGCTGCTTGGCGGCTCGGCGGGGCCGCTGAGAGGGCGGCGTCCGGGGCCGCTGGGAGGAGGCGACGAGGCCGCTGAGAGGAGGCGGCGGGGCCGCAAAGGTAGGTGGCGGGGCCGCAGGTAGGTGGCGGGGCCGCTAGTGGGTGGCGGGGCCGCAGGTAGGTGGCGGGGCCAGCACAGGTAGGTGGCGGGGCCGCGGGTAGGTGGCGGGGCCGCTGGTAGGTGGCGGGGCCGCAGGTAGGTGGCGGGGCCGCTAGTAGGTGGCGGGGCCGCAGGTAGGTGGCGGGGCCGCAGGTAGGTGGCGGGGCCGCACAGGTAGGTGGCGGGGCCGCACAGGTAGGTGGCGGGGCCGCGGAGGGCGGTGACGAGCCGTAGGGGGCCGTGAGGGGCCGCGGGAGGGGCCGTAAGGGGCGTAAGGGGCCGCGCGAGGGGCCGTAAGGGACGGCGCGAGGGGCCGTAAGGGGCGGCACGAGGGGCCGTAAGGGCGGCGCGACGGGCGCGACGGGCCGTAAGGGCGGCACGAAGGGCCGTAAGGGCGGCGCGAAGGGCCGTAGGGGGGCGGCGCGACGAGCCGTGAGAGGGCCGCTAAGGGCGACGCGACGGGGCCGTGAGGGGCCTAGCGAGGGCGCGATGGTAGGGAGAGCACACAGGGCGCATACAAACCCTAGAAAACTGTACCCCATATGTGCCACCCCACTATAGCCTACAGTAGCTCTGTCATATAAATCTGACAATATCATCCCTACACGCTGCTCGCAGAAGTTGTTCAAGTTGAGGCGCTCCGTCTGACCATCCGTTTGGGGATGATAGGCAGATGACATGGCGAGTTTGGTCCCCATGAGCGACATGAGCTCCTTCTAGAATTTAATCGTGTATTTTGGGTCTTTGTCGGAGATCAGCGTGGTTGGAATGCCGTGTTGCGAGATGACGTAGCGGAAGAATAATTGAGCTGTCTCCTCGGTGCGAGCCATTGTGTGTGTCGGGATGAAGTGTCTCATTTTGGAAAAAAATGTCGATGACGACTAGGATGGCGTCGTAACCAGCTTTGGTAGGTGGTAACTCGATGATGAAGTCCAAGCTAACCACTTGCCAAGGCTGTTTAGGAACTGGAAGAGGCTGGAGTAATCCGACTTTCTTCTGTTTGCTGCTCTTCATCCGTCGGCATGTGTCGCACGAGGTGACGAATTTTTGTACGTCATCCGCCATGTGGGGCTAATTATAATGCTTCGCAATACTGGCAAGCGTCTTGTTACAACTGAAGTGGCCCGTGTAGAGAACATCTTGATATGCTTCGAGTAGTAACAGGCGTAAAGGAGGGAAAATTGTTGATTACAGAAATAATTTTCTGTAAATCTGCCGATCTGAGGTCGTGGTTCAGGTTTTTTAGCTGCAGTTGACTTGAGCGGCGAGTCTGGTACAAGCGAGGTAAAGTCAAGGCTGGTCTCGACCAATAGGAGTGGCTGGCGGTGACACGTATGCGAAACTGACAATGGCCGGAGTGGTGTATCTTGAACAAGCGAAGTGTTTGAAGATGCTGTCGCTACTACCCGAATCATAGCTGCAGTTCACTATTGGGTTGAGCCTCCCACAGAACCAGGGACTGTGGACTCTCGAATAGGTGAGGAGCAAGATTATGGAGGAGGATTTTTGAAGGCGTCAGGTGAACAATATGGATGACGGAAACGATGGTTTTGGCATGCATGGAAGCAGTTGGAGGAACAGACAAAGGCAAGGAGAAAATGAGGGTAATAAACAGCAAGGCAAAATGGCCAGGTTTCAAGAGACTGAAGAAGATTACGAGAGGCGAAATGACGATTTCAGGGGAAGGGTAGATTATATGCGTAACTATGGAGGCTGGAACAACAGACCATCGAGGAGTGACTACGGAAGTGGGTTTCGCAGTTTTCGGGGAAAGTGTTGGTATTGTCGGAAGCCGGGGCATACGTGGATGCAATGTGACGAATGACCAGATTGGTGGGACCCAAGCTACTTGAACGAAGATGGGAAAGAAAGTGAGTTGCATGGTGTTTCGGTGGTAGCGGATTGTGCTAGAAAAACGGATCGATCTGAAGGAAAAACAGCAGGGCAATTCTTCCACGTAGTAGCGGGAGAAAGACCTCGGGCAACAACTGCAAAAGGAAAAGCTGATCGGCAAACATGAATCTTGGATACAGGAGCAGCTTGGTCAATGACACCATGTGCGGAGCTGCTGGAAAGTATTGATACAACACCCATCACGGAAATCAAGTCCGGATCTGGACATGCAATGAGAGTGATGGGTGCAGGAAGGGCTGCGTTTTTTGGGACCGACGAGAAGCCGATTGTGATTGAGAAGGTGCTGTTTCTACCGGAAATGATAGCGAACCTGATATTGCTAAGGAATTTGGCTATTGCTGGAGTGAACAATGAGAACAGAGGCGGGCGGTTCAAGGGAACAGGGTGCTTTGGGAGCTGCGCGACGAATGGAGCCGAGATAATGAGCTGTGGCAAGTACCTGCTGTGCCATGGAATAAAGTTGCAGTACAAACTGCTGAGAAGGGGAGTATCATCGAGGGGGAGTCAATAACTGTTACCATGGACGAGATAAACAAGCTGAGATGTAGCTGATTGAGCAGCTGAAGGTAATCGCCTCCTGCTTTAGTGGGCTTGTATAATCTTGAGCATAGTGAAGTTTTTCCCTCATCCAGCCAATTCCAGTAGCTCTGTTGAACTTTTCCAGCCAAGTTTCCAGTCCTCTAGCAGTCCTACCACCGCGCTAAAAATCGATCCTGAGGCGATCGATTCTCCACTTTTACTGTTCCACTTTCACATGCCTTCCCTACCCGTCACTTCAAAAGCATATGTGCAGTAAGCAACTGGTAATCGAGTCCCGCGACGTATAAACCGATGTTCTGACATGAATCCTCATAGCCTTAGAATTTCGATTTATTTCACAAAATTGTGAAAATCGTTCTAGATTTGCACCACCGCAATGTCGCCACGACCGGCATTTCAATGAACCATGGACCTATTGCGTGCGCGATGCAGTTGTTGCGAGGTTAGCACAAGTGCGTGGCTTAGTTTCTTTTGGAGTTTCTAACGTTGCAAAAGCTACGGGAACAACGTAGGCGCTTTGCAACACACAAGGGGAAGGGGAACGCAATAGACACGACGTGCCACGGTAGGGGAAAACGCTGCGCACATTCTTGAGAGCCTTGAGTCCCACCAATCCGCGCTCGACTGGTCTTGCTATTGATGCCTTAATGCTTCGCACCTTGCTGCACGTCCACTATCCCTCATTGTGGGGTGTCCTCTCTCTCTTGCTCTCTGGACGTTATCTGCAACTGTTGTTTACCCTGTTCTAACTTGATCCTTTAACAACGAAGACTATCCAGCAGTGAGCAGGGTGCTTTTTCAGCTATACCTCGTTTCTCGCTCTCAGGGCGCCGTGGATTCGCCTCCGCTCGTGCTACCATTCCTCACTCTCTGTAAGGGTACTCATCAACCCTTCTGTGCTCGCAATCCGCTCTCTCCCGTGCGCGCAATCTGCTCTCTCCCGTGCTCGCAATCCGCTCTCTCCCGTGCTCGCAATCCGCTCTCTCCCGTGCTCGCAATCCGCTCTCTCCCGTGTTCGCAATCCGATCTCGTCCGTGCTTGCAATCCGATCTCATCCGTGCTCGCAATCCGATCTCATCCGTGCTCGCAATCCGATCTCGTCCATGCTTGAAATTCAATCTCATTCGTGCTCGCAATCCGATCGCATCTGTGCTTGCAATCTTATCTCATCCGTGCTTGCAATCTCATCTCATCCGTGCTCGCAATCTGAGCTCTGCCGTGCTTGCATTCCGCCCTCTCTCGTCCTCGCATTCGGCTCTTCCATCATGGCCTTCCGCTACCTACCATACGCGAATTCGGCTCCCTCCTGTGCTCGCATCATGGTGAGCTCCTCACTTCTTGCTTCTTGATTCTTGCTTCTTGCTTCACCCTCTCATTCTCAAATTCGGCAACCCTGCCGTCCTCACATAATGTTCTCTCTGTTGTACTTCTTGTGGCGCTCTCCCGTTCACCCGTTCTGCTCTCTCTCTTGTTCTTCATGTGACATGACTCCCGTACACACATTCAGCCAGCTCTTTTGTTTAGAATGTGGCGCTCTCACGTCCACGCATTCTGCTCTCTCTCCGTCTTGTTCATTCTTGGGGCGCTCTCCCGTCTACCTGTTGCACTCTCTTCCAGCACGCCCACAATATCACACTTTCACGTTCTCATGCAACGCCACCCTATACACTTGTCCTCCCAGACAGGGAGCTTCCACTTGACACTTGTTTTCGTGAGCACTTGCGGAAAAGCCTGAGATCTTTGTGACTTGTTGCCCCCCCCAGCATTTTGAATTGCCACTCTAGTCGCCTCATCCGAGCACAGCAGAGCGCGACATTGTGGTGAGCTCCGGTTCCCCCCTCTCCGCTCTCGCTCATTACTACCCTTGCTGCTGTTATGCTCTCTGCCTATCACCCTACTGCCTCACTTCTTCTATCTTGGATTGCTCCCATTCCGCTCGCTCCAGTGTTTAGCATTGAAGGCTCACCTCTGTATCGCCGCCTCACTCTACATGCGTCTTCCCCAGCAGAATTCCATCACCATAACGCTTGGCCAGCTTGCAAGACTCGGCAAGTTGTAAGGCACCTACCATTGACCCCTTCAATGTCGTTTTTGTTCCATGCAATGGCCGTTACCATGCGCTTTTCTTGTGCGTGGCGGATTATCCAATTCGAAGCCGGCCTGCAGCAACCTGTACAGCCCGTGCAGTGAACGATAATGGGTGGTGGTAGGGTGCGTTGAATCCGGACCCCATGCACACTCAAGAGTTGGGCGTGTTTGATGATGTATTTGATGGTTTCAAGGAATTGTTTGACTAGTGGGTGAGCACGTCTCCTTCTTGTATGAACCACTATTACTATTAAGGTGGCATAAGATGCGTTTATTGTATAGGTGCCTCCTCCCATCCTTCGACGCACCCTCCTATCCTTACCTGCTTATCCATCTCTCATCTGCTTATCTGCCACCTCCTCATGTTCTCCGTCTCCTCTCCTTCTCTTCCCCTTCCTCTTCTTCTCTACCCCTTCCTCTCCTTCTCTGCCCCTTCCTCTCCTCCTCTGTCCCTTTCTCTCCTCCTCTGTCCCTTCCTCTCCTCCTCTGTCCCTTCCTCTCCTTCTCTTCCCCTTCCTCTCCTTCTCTGCCCCTTCCTCTCCTTATCTGCCTCCTCTCCTTCTCTGCGCCTTCCTCTCCTTCTCTGCCCCTTCTTCTCCTCTGTTCCTTCCTCTCCTTCCCTGCCCCTTCCTCTCCTTCTCTGCCCCTTCCTCTCCTGCTCCTCCCCCTCCTCTTCTCCTCTGTCCCCTCTGCCCTTACTCGCCCACTTCTCTCCTTTCCTGTCCTCTTGGTTTCTATTATGTTGCCTCAACGCACCCATCATGCAGTGGTGCGAATTGTATATGTCAAAAATGTGGAAGGGATGTCAAGACGCGGCAAGCACTGCTGGGTCACATGACCAACCCGGTTTGCGAGGCAACTGCCGCAGCTCAGAGAACCACACGACAGTCCCCCGAAGCGCGTGGGTCCAAGGGTGCTCGCCCAACCATCTGTTCCATCATTGTCTTTGAGTGGTGATGTTGGCGATGGCACCGGCATGCATAGTAGAGGACAAGAAGGCCCATCCGGTGGTTTAGGCTCTATGGACAACCATGATGAACATGCCGGGGTAGCTGTGGAAAGCATTATCCCACCCCGATTTGATACTAATGAGGCTAGTGATAATAGTAGTCACAGCAGTGAAAAAGCTAGCTAACTATGTGAAGATGATAACTTTGGGATGGTGGCAGGGAAGGGGAGGCAGGATGATGACATTGACAGGTCAAATCAGTCTCCTCGTAAGAACACTCTGGATGCTTGGGCGCATTGGTTGCTTACCTGCCGCTTGTTTAATAACCAGATCAATGCCCTCTTTGATCTCATGCATGACAAGGAGTTGTACATCTGCGACGTCCTCCGATGGAAGAATGTGAAGGATGTGCATGCCTATGCCGAGTCTAAAAGGTCGGATTCGCACCGAGGGTGGCAACGGTGGTTAGTTCAGTCGCAAGACAAAGCATGGTTGGAGTATTGGGCTTGTGATGGATTAATAGCTCTCCAAGATATACTAGCCCACCCCCTGTTAGCCTCTCGAATGTTCATGGTTAGTTCACCGCGATATGCTTGCGAGAAGCGGATGTATACAACGTAGGAGACAGGCAAGTAGTGGGAAGAATTGCAGGCGGAGGTTCGTAAGGTGGATCCAGAGGGCATGGTGGCTGCTTTGATAATCGCGAGTGACGAAACACACATGGACCATCGTAGGAAGGTTAAGGGCCATCCAGTATACCTAACACTTGGAAACATCGACAAGGACGATCGATGGAGACCGTATGAACACGTCCTACTTGCACTGCACCCCGAGTTCCTGCCGAAGTACTCGTCTCTTGGCAGAACGGATGTCTTCCAGTACGTCATGAACGAGGTAATGGCAGGCCTCAAGAGAGCATCGCACACGGGGGTCAAGATGAAACACTCTAAGTGCGAGACAATCAATGAGTGGCCGTCCGTATGCGCCCACGTCACGGATTACGAGTTGTACAAGGTTACATGCACCACATCTCTCGGCCCTAAATATCCTTGCTCTTTGTGCAAGGTGGATAAGGACGAGCTCAAACGGTTTGAGTTCCGAATTAACCCTTGAACACCCACCGAGCAAAACCAGGTTGTGGAAGGATAAAGAGTGGCCTCATTGACCCTAAATCTGACGAGGCTCTCTCTACACCCCGTTAAGGTATGGTTTCATGTCTACACCTCTATTTGTCTTATTTTCCTCGCGTTCTTCCTCATCCTTGTACTTACCTATTGTCCTTATATATTGTGCGTGTTTCTGCCCTTGCAGAGTTACCTATGGGGTTGGCGGTGGGAACTCGTGCCGATGTTGAGCGCGTGCCTCGCCGTGCTGCCAGATATAATGCACCAAGCGGACTTCGGCATTCTTGAGCACATCATAGCTGCGATTCGTCACTACGTGCTAAAAAAGAAGAAGCATCCATTATGGTTGAAAGTGTTTGATAAACGGTTGAAGTATGTGAAGAACATGCTACAGGGTGGGAATAAGGGTGGAAGACGAATATTCACTACTCGAGTACTATTCGTCTAATCACATATTTAACGAGTTTTTGTCGAGGCAAATGTCTCACTAAAAACGCGAATACTCGACTGTCGAGTACTCGAGCGCCGAGTACCTCGTACTCGACTAAGTCTATTCTATCCCCCCCCCCCCCCCACCCCCTCTCCCCCCCCGGTATTCCCAACAAGGAATTTTTTATCGAAGAAGTCTTGGGTCACACAAGAAAATTCGCCCTGTTTGATTTTACGTGCAGGTTTTGGGAAAGTACGAGAAGAAGGGTATCTATGTTTAGGGTTTGCTTCCTCTGAAATCGTGGTCAGATGCACTAAACGCCGTGTATTTTTGCGGTCTCGGAATAAACAAGGTTTCTCTCTATGTCGACTGGACCTAAGCTAAGTATCGAGAAGTTTGACAGAAACACACACGAACGCAACCCTTGAAGAAAGCATGTGCAGTAGTTTGGCGCAAACAGGACTGTTGAAGCGGGAAACTCTCTGCTCAGCTGAGTCATATATTCGTGCAGCCACCGCAATCAACTCACATGTGGTTTGGGTGAACACACGACGGGGTTGTGCTGACAAAGAAATGCATTCCCACAGCACAGCACATCACATCACCTGATCGTAAACGCACGATGGAGCTGTGCTGACCACGAAATGCAAGCGAAGATTGCAGCACCCGCTTGCGAATGCACGACAGAGTTTTGCTGACCACGAAATGCAGGCGATCAGCACAACTCATGTACGTGAACGCACGATCACGAAATGCAAGCAAAAAGTGGTGTCGCCTTTGCACGAAGAGTTACCCGACTCGATAAAATTGACCTTATTCGTTTCCAATGCATCAACCGTAGCGCAATCACAACATCAGGCCCCAACCAAACACCCAAACTCACTCGACATCCTATATCCAGAGAGTGTAACTAGCTAACTTCCTTGCCTCTTGAGCCCAGAGTTCATCATTTTAACTAGCCTGAAGTTTACACACTCTAAATTCTCCATTCGCAGTTATCATCACGAGTTCCAGTATCCTTTCTTCCGAGTATCCCGTCCTTAACGGTGACGAAGATGGAAGTGTCTCACCTACGAGTAATGCCGATCCTAATTGCATTTAAGAGAGTCAGAGCGATTCGCCACGTTTCGAGAATGACAATGGCGCTACCGCACCGAGTAGGAAGCGTGCCAAGACTAGAACCGCTAAGATTTGGGAAATGTTCTCTAAGATTGATGGAGTGGACCAGGCAACTTGCAACTATTGTCCCCCCAAGAGTGTTGATGGCATCATATCCATGAAGGGCAGCTCCACAATGGCCATGTGGAACCAGGCCAAGTCAAAACATGCAAACGAGTATGCCCACGTTTTTTAAGTCGAGCTTGCAACATGCAATGGTGGCGGAACCGCAGACATTCTTCGTGCCTTGATACGAACTACGCCTTACACAGAGCGTAAAAACTGCGAGCGGCTCGTCCGAATCTTCTCAAAAGACACCATCGCCTTCTCCGCCATCGAAGACAAAGACTTGAAGGACTACTTGAAGTGGCTCAACCCGCAAGCGACCATTCCTTCGCGCAAAACGATCTCAAGCGACTTGACGGCCAAGCACTCGAGCATACATTCAAGCACTTCCCTCCAACATTGCATTCACTTGTGATATTTGGACGGCGCCCAACATCCGTACATACATGGTGATCACGGCACATTTCATTGACAAAGATTTCAACAACATTCTGTGCGTGTTAGATTCTAAGCTTTTGGAGGAGTCACACGATAGAGGCTATTATAAATGTATTCACGGAGACGGTTTATGATGAGTGGGGACTTGGAGAGAAAGTGATAGGAATCACGTTGGATAATGCATCATCCAACGATCATCTCATCAAACTTCTTGTGGATGAGAAGGGGTTCCCGAGGCACATGCGGTGCTTCGCACATGTTCTCAACCTCGTCGTTGAACAACTCTTGAAGGATGGCAAGGTAGATGCGGCCCTCAAAAAGGTTAGGGCCTTTGCCGTTCACATTCCCGGACCCTTATTGCATAAAATGAAGTTTGCAAACCGTTGCAAGGAGAAGGGTTTCATTGATGTCAACTCAATTGCTTTGGATACGCTGACAAGGTGGGGGAGCACCAATAACATGGTGCATCGAGCGCTACTCCTCCGACCCACCACTGATTCCTACTTGGTGGGCAAAGTAGTGGAAGATGTGGAACGAGAACTCAAGGTGAAGGACGAGAAATGTGGGTATCTTCAAGTCCTCGCCAAAATCCTTGCACATTTTGCGGAGGTTACCACGTTATTAGAGGGAAGCTCTTACGCTAGTGTATCCCTATGTATCCCACTTATAAACATTCTAATGGATAAGATGGAGGGTGGATGAGGGACGGTGGAGAGTTCTTGAAAGCATGCAAGAATGGTCTTGCAAAGCTCAAGAACTCTTACGACTGTTCCTCCGAGGAGTACACGGTTGCTACGCTCCTTGATCCAAGGTTCAACCTTGCATACAACGCGGAGGGGGCAAGCACGGGTGTTGGACATGTTTCGACGCGCGTGGTCAAGTAGACTTTCATGGAAGCATTCAAGAGTTATGAGGAAGCATGCAAGCGCAAGATAGAAACGACTCTCGTGATCGAGCGGCATCGTCTTCTCGTTCCACATCCTCCCTTCTTGGTGGTCTCATTCATTCCCGCGAGAACGGGGTGCGTCAATCCACCACCGTGCAAATGACCAACTATCTTGAAGAAGAAAGAGTGAGCATGGACTCCAATGCAAAATATCAAACCTTCAACATGTGGAGGAAAGTGCATGGTGCACGATTTCCCATTCTTGCGAAGATGGCATGCGCCCTTGCAATTCCGGCAACTTTCGCCGAATCGAAGCGCACCTTCTCCATTGCCCGTCGTCTCATCACCGATTATCGTCATAGCCTTGATCCCAGGACAATTCAAGCATGTTTGTGCCTTAGTCTTGGTTTGAGCTCACATGCATGGAGTAGTTTAGTATTTGGTCATGAATATAGTGGTGTGCTTGTTGTTGCATGCTAGGCTAAGTATAGTACAATTGTAGTTGTATCCTAGGATTAAAATATGAAAGCCTTTTCTATTGAAACATGCATATAAAGTTTATAAGTTAGTACTTGATACTCGACTCATATTCGACCGTATTCGACAAAATTCGACTCGTAATTGACTCGGATAAAATAATGGTACTCGATCAGATACTTTTTTCCACAACTACTCGCTAAATAATCATCTACGGTACTCGTATTCGAATCGGGTATTCGTTTTCCACCCTTAGGTGGGAACATGAGGCTACCATCGAGAGAGTCCTTCGTGAAGGGTGCGAATTACCAAGCTTATGAGCACCGCTCGGTTATGCAAGTCCTACCATTCTTGGTGTCACAAAATCAAATGGATGCCATCATCACCTACATCAAATGGTACCTTGAGTGTGTAAGGACGAGTAAGCAC